TTTATTCTATATTTCTTTGCACAAAACTCTCCAGAAAGTGCATTTAATGGTTTATTTTTCAAAAAAATCCGGGGGAGCATACCCGGCTATTGTACTGAATAGAAAATAATATTTTTTTAAAATACAATGAATTACAAGGCTGTATAGAACAGTGCAATATATACTGAGGTTTTAGTTACATTATTTTAATATAGACAGTCGGGAACTAAAGTGGGCCGATCTAAGGCATGAAACTCCAGGGCTGAAAATGAGTCCCACTCCGGCCCTGACTAAACGTGATCTTAGTTTTCTTCAGTATCCTAATGTCATGTCGGAGGATGTAACATACTCACATAGAAGACTGAATGTGTGTGTGTGTGTTTGTAAACTGTCTACAGTATAAGTGAAGAGGGATGCACCAGTCAGACTTTCCAGATAGGAACAAATAGCAGGGCTGTGGTTTCCTCTTAAACAGAGGGCCATTATTTACAGATAGTGGTCACACACACGCAGTGACCTCATACACTCTGTGAAAGGCAAGAGAAAAGGAAGACAAAGTACATCTAAACTGTTTGTTAAACTGACATCAACCAAAATGTCCTTGTTTTTATTATTATTATTATTATTATTAAATTCTACACTAATTATTAATATTGTTCACTTCTTTATGTGTACATCTGTGGTAGACTGTGGTTTATCAGCAGAGTTAAGCATGTAAAGGATGATAAGTGAGAAGTCTATCTTTTTGAGGATGTTACTAACACGAACGTCTCGGTTCCATATGGTAACCCTCGTTCCCTGAGGGAGGGAACGGAGACGTAGGTCATGAGAGACCAATAGGAATCTCGCTAGAGAGCCAATTTACTTTGAGTGAATCTAAAACAAGCCAATGCACATTGGCGTGCAATCATTTGCATAAGCTGCGCTGCCTTGTTAGCGCAGGTACATAACAAGCAGCTCTTGTGATCAACTTCAGTTTTTTGCTGAGGAGCCAAACTTGGGAAGCTGGCCCCCCGGCGGGCGGCAGCAGATATGGCGACGGTCAGTCACTACAACGTAGGTCATGACTGACCAATAGGAATCCCTACCAAAGGGCAACAGTCGCTGCACCCCATCCAGCGCCCTGTGCAAGCCTCTGCATCTTCTTGCCTGGAAGGACGATAAGAGGAGGGCTTACACGGGGAGTGTCTGACACTGTTGTTTCTCTATAACCCATACAGTGAGACTTTGGATAACACTGGGAAAGTGTGCCCTTTTTTTAGGCAGGGAAACGTTGCGGAACCCACTTTCTTCAACGAGTTATGTGGAAATACATATAGACTAACCTGAAGGCTGTACTGCATATGAGATAATGGGTGACTTAGCCAAAGGGAAAGACACGGGCTTCCATCTTAGGAGCAAACGTCGCATATATACACATATGGGATCCACGAAGGGTCACACATATGGAACCCAGCCCGGGTCTGGCTCTCAAGGATTCAGCGGAAAGGGGCCTGGCTCCGGACGCTCCGCCATGTCCAGGCCGAGGGGTGTTGGAGGACTCGACAGGTTTTTCAGTCTTGAGCAATTGGTTTGCACAGTAGGTTGCAGCAAGCCGACAGAGCCGGGCCTCTGTGCGAACAGAGGCCTCTGTCACGTTCAGTGCGAACGTGTCGGTGTCGCCCAGCCCACAGCTCTTCATATATCTGTTAGTGAGGCACCACGAGCCAGCACCCAGGAGGATGCAACGCCTCTCGTAAAGTGTGCATGCAACCTGAGTGGGCATGGCATGCCTTGAGCTTGATAAGCCAAGGCGATGGCATCCACTATCCAGTGGGCCATCCTCTGCTTGGAGACAGCCTTCTCCTTCTGCTGGCCTCCGTAACAGACAAAGAGCTGGTCTGAGGTCCTGATGCTTTGAGTTCTGTCCACATACATACGCAGAGCGCACACGGGACAGAGCAAAGCCAGGGCTGGGTCTGCCTTCTCCAAGGGCAGCGCTTGCAGGTTCACTACCTGATCTCTGAAGGGAGTGGTAGGAACCTTGGGCACATAGCCAGGCCGTATGGAGGGGGGTCGAGGAGGATTTAATCGTCTCACCCCCCCTAAGAAACCTGACGACCAGGTCATGCTTTCCAACTGTTTTGCCATCTATGTGGTCGTGATAAGCTGAAATAGCAGCACCATGAACTTTGAGGGTGGAGGAAGACAGTCTTCGCTCCAACCTTTGCTGCAAGAAGGAAAGCACAGACCCTATTGTACATCTTCGGGGGTCTTCTCTGCGTGAAGAACACCACTCGACGAACAGGTTCCATTTCAGGGCGTAGACACATCTCGTTGACGGCGCCCGTGCTAAAGTGATGGTGTTAAGTACCTCTGGGGGTAAGTCACCTAGAATCTCTGCGTCCCGTCCAGGGACCAGACATGGAGTTTCCAGAGGTCTGGACACAGGTGCCATAAGGTGCCTCGTCTCTGAGTCAGAAGATCCTTCCTCAGAGGAATGGGCCAGGGAGGGACTGTCACAAGGAGCATGAGTTCTGGGAACCAGGTCCGAGTGGGCCAGTAGGGAGCCACCAGAAGGACCTGCTCCTTGTCTTCCCTGACTTTGCACAGTGTCTGCACAAGTAGGCAAGTAGGAAACGCATATTTGCAACGGTCGCAGTGTTGTCCGTGCGGACCAGCACATCCCTGCCCTGCAGCGGCCTTTTCAAGCGGCGCAGAGCGAGATGTACAGCCAGCAATTCTAGGCAATTGATGTGCCAATGCAGATGAGGGCCGTCCACACCCCTGATACTGCATGCCCGTTGTACGTGGCACCCCAGCCAGTGGCAGAGGCATCTGTGAACACCACAGCATGCCTGGATTCCTGTTCCAAGGGGACTTCTGCCCCAAGGATCGAGGGATCTGACCACGGGCTGAAGGTCTGACGGCAGGCCAGTGTGATTGTCACCCGGTGAGTGCCGTGATGCCACGCCCATCTCGGGACTCAGCCGTGAAGCCAGTGCTGAAGCGGTCTCATATGAAGCAAGCCGAGTGGGGTTACGGCTGCTGCTGCTGCCATATTCCCCAGGAGCCTCTGAAAAAAATTGAGTGGGACCACCGTCCTGCCTTTGAACGTGTTCAAGCAGTCCAGCACCGACTGAGCACACTGCTCTGTGAGGCGCGCTGTCTGTGCGACCGAATCCAACTCCATACCAAGAAAAGAGATCCTCTGCACGGGGGCGAGTTTGCTCTATTCCCAGTTGACCTGAAGACCCAACTGGCTGAGGTGCCAGAGCACAAGGTCCCTGTGATCGCATAACTAATCTCGAGAGTGTACTAGTATGAGTCAGTCGTCAAGATAGTTGAGGATGCGAACGCCCTGTTCTCTCATGGGAACAAGGACCCCCTCTGTGACTTTCGTGAAGACACGGGGGACAGGGACAGCCCGAAGGGTAGGACCTTGTATTGATATGCTCGACCCTTGAATGCAAAGAGCAGAAACGGCCTGTGTCAAGGAAAAATCGAGACATGAAATGTCTCATTCGATTGCGTTTCTGTGTGAGCATTTTGAACGGTAGCTTGTGGAGGCTCCGATTCAAAACTCGCAGGTCCAAGATTGGTCGTAACCCACCACCTTTCTTGGGTACAATGAAGTAGGGACTGTAGTGCCCTGACCTCATATCGGCTGGAGGGACCGGCTCTATCGCGTCCTTCGCCAGTAGGACTGCGATCTCCACGCGCAAGACATGGGCATCGGCTGCTCTCACTGTAGTGGAGTGGATGGCCCAAAACTTGGGGGGACCCCAGGCGAACTGAATCGCATAGCCGAGCCTGATGGTCCAGATGAGCCAGCAAGACGGGCTGGGGAGCGCTAACCAGGCTCCCAGAGTGGGGCAGCGAGGTGGAACACAGGGACCTGGCTGGGGAGGCTCTCTCTGGGAGGCGGCCCACATCGGGGTCTGAGTTTGCTGTGAAGCGCTTGCCTTGTTCCACGGTGCTGGAGATGCGGGAGGCGGCTCGGTGGCGTTCCTGGACCGTACACTGCTGAAAGAAGAGGAGGATGAAAGTGGTAAGGATTTTTCCCCCCACTGCTCTCCGAGTCCTCTTCGGACCCAGAGATGGTAGAAACTGCTCTTTTATTGAAAATTTTGGACATAAAACAAAAGATTTTCCACCGGCCCTCTTCCGGGTTGAGGGAGCGAAGTGGTCATCGTCTCCATGAGAGCAGTCCCTGCCATCTCTGGGTTGCCCATCCTAGGGCCACTTGTTCTTGGCTTTGCCGCCGTTCTTGGCGGGGGCCCGGACAGGCGGGGCGTCCTGCCTGTGACCGGCTCCGCAGCGCCATTTCGATGGAGGCTGCTGCTGCGCCCCGATGCTGCGATCGACATCTGATCATCGTGGGAAAGCGCCAAAGGGTACGACTGGTACACACCTCGTGGATGGTCCACCGCACTCCCTTGGCAGCTCAAATGGTTGGGGAGGCTGAGAGGGGTGAGGGTTCCTAAGGGGTTGGTTCCCCGAAGGAAGCGCGCTCACCGTGATCCTCAGGTCACCCGCGCCAGTAGCCGAAGCAAAAAGACGCGAACTATCCATGCAAGCTCTTTTAGGGACTACTCTCACTGGTACTGAGGCACACAGGGGGACAGTTGCAGGCGATCAAGGATGGGAATGTGCACCCGTACGTGCGCTGATTCTCTCTCGCTGGCTGGGTTCTTACCAGCTTGAACTTGTTTGATGAAAATTTCACTCTTAGCAGAGGCATTGAAGTTTTGGCTCCGAAGCAAAAAGCTGAAGTACAATCACAACAGCTGTTTGTTATATACCCGCGCTGACGAGGCCGCGCAGCTGATGCAAATGATTGCGCGCCAATGTGTATTGGCTTGTTTTAGATTCACTCAAAGTAAATTGGCTCTGTAGCGAGATTCTTACTGGTCAGTCATGACCTACGTTGTAGTGACTGACCGATAGGAAACAAACATCAATGTTCATTTGATCTGATTTCTAAAAGTGATGACATACATCTTATTCATCAATTTCGTGCTTATGTTTTTGTAGCAAAGCCTGTTAGAATATGCTGAACTCAACCATGATCTTCCTGAACCAGTGGACTAGCAGAAGTCAGTCACCTCAAGCATCCCTCACATCACTCTGGAATACTGTTGTCTGTGTTTCATCAATCTCTTCTATCCTTCAACATTATTCTCCTAAAAAACACTAATTTAATCATGTATCTTTCCTTTCATCTAATGTGTTTCATTGTTTGTCCTGTTTTTACAATGCAAAACTGGGGAGTTTTGAGTTATCACATTTTTAATAAAGTAAAATTATTTGTTTGAATTTCTCTGTGTGATAAATAGCTTGTTACTTTATTACCTCAGTAAATTGTGTTTAATAAGTTCTGGATCAGTTCTCTTGCACCCTGTCACACACTAAATTGGATGATGTGACTCAAACTGTTCCAGCAGTTAGTTGGTAATCGCCTCGCATGAGAGATGTAGATAAAGTCATGCTTTCATCTCTGGGCAAAATGCTTTTATCAGTTGACATAAATAACATCACTTTTAGCTTGTGCTAAAGGAAACCAAAACAATTTCCTTTCAGGTTTCCACTGGGAAAAGATGATAATAGCTAGTGAATACCAGTTACACCCACATCACTTAGCTCATCCAGGCTGACATCACTAAGTGTAGTGAGCTAAATAAATATTTGTCACGGTTTGGGTTTTGTGTCTTCTTCCTTGTTCTTGTCTGTCATGTGATTCCCTGTTTGCCATGTGTCTTGTTAATTGATCATTGTTCCCAGGTTTTATTATTAGCCAAGGCCCCTTGTAATTTTTTTTTGCCCCCTTGTAATGTATTTAAGCTCTGTGTCTAGTTCAGTCTTTGTGAGTTCTTAATGTTGTAATGGTTGCTGGTTCCATGTTCCGGGTCTGAGTTTCTTTGTTTGTCATTTAACCTGGATAACCTGTTTGTTTAGTTAATGAAGTGCTGCATTTGGATCCACTTTCTGCTTTATTCCTTCCGCCACATTACAATATTGGTACTACTGGTAAATGAGCAAAAACACAACATGGTGCTATATGTTATTTATACAGTTTTTTACTTTTTGTCAATTTCCCATTCATTTCCTATGGGTCGGTCATTTTTGACCGAAGACAAAAATCGTCATTATTTTTTTTACGACCACTTAGCTGTCACAGTCCTCGTCTGCACCAGTCTGTCTTTGTCATCTGCACTACACTTCCCAGGATCCTCTTGTCTCCACACCTGAACTCACTCCCTCAATCATCCACCTGTTCATCGTTTTCATCATCTGTGTCACTTGTCTTCACCTTGTTATGTTTGATTCATGCTTGTACTTAGTTTTCTTCTGTTCAGTCTGTCCTTGTTGGTCGTTGTTAATGTTACCAGGAGTTTGTGAGTGTACCCTCTGCCTGCCTGTCTGTACCTGTTTGATTTTGAGTAAATCTTTGTATTGGAGCTTTTTGCCTCAGCCTCTCATTGTCTACACCACAACCGTGACAGAACGACCGACCCTAAAGAAGTGACAGCATGGGAATTCTCCTCACCCCAGCTCACTCACTCTTCAACATCTTTCAAGATGGTCATTCCATTGAGGAGTATGTCGCCAAATTCCTGGAGCTCTCTGCTGGGGTAAGTTGGTCAGATGATGTCTTTAAATCAGTCTGTACCAGCAGCATCATCGTTTCCAGGAACCTTTGCCGGTTACCTGGATCATGTGTTGTGGTTGAGTGGGTCAGCCTTCACCGTTGGTGAGGCTAAAGATGACAGCACCATTCAACCACACACACCAGCCATCTTCACCACACCACCCATCATCAGTTGGAATTCAGTCGCCGTCCAGCCAGAGACCGTCCAGCCAGAGACCGCCCAGACCGAGTCTCGTCCCACCGAGACAGCCCAGACCGAGTCTCGTCCCGCCGAGAAAGCCCAGCCGAGTCTCGTCCCGCCGAGACAGCCCAGCCAGATCCAGAGATCGTCCAGCCAGAGACCAGGATCCCACCCAGCCTCCCTCTCCCACCTCCTCTCATCTGCCACCTTTCAGCCCTTCCACCTCTGCCTACCAGCTCTGATGATTCAGCCTGGTCTGTGTATCCCCGGCCTCTGCCTCCAACCTCCTCAACCAGGACTCTACTCAGCCCTTCGTCCATCAGCTCCTCCTTGGCTCCTACCTCCCTCAGCTCCACCATGGCCCCTCAGTCCACCAGTTCCGCAAAGCTCCCTCGTCCCCCGGATTCACTTTGGTCCCTCGTCGCCCTTCCCTCACCTTTGGACCTCTCTTCTCTGGCTACGCCTCATCGTGTCACCCAAACCCCCCCCCCCCCCCGGTTCTGTTGGACTCCTCACTCCCCTCAGTGCTCCGTTGGTCCTCACTCCTCTGTCTCCACCGTGTCCTTCTGTGTCCCTCTCTACACATCAGTCACCTGAGACTGCAGTCTCACCATGTTCCTTCAGTCCCTCAGCATTACCCTGTCTCGTCGGCTCTACGGCTTCACCCTGGTCTCCTCTCCCACCTGCTCCGCCCCTGTCAGTCGGCCCCCTGGTGTCGTCAGCCCTGCCTACGTCTCGGCTCCTTCCTTTATCTGCTCCACCATGGATCCCGTCACCCCTGACCACGCCCTCAGCCTGGTCCACCCTGGCCATGCCCTCAGCCTGCTCCGCCCTGGCCACCCCCTCAGCATGCTCCGCCCTGGCCACTCCCTCAGTCTGCTCCGCCTCCTCCTCCCAAACCTCCTCCTTCATCTCCTGTTCTACGGCGTGAGGTCACACCTACCGGGAGGGGTGAGTAATGTCACAGTCCTCGTCTGCACCAGTCTGTCTTCATCATCTGCACTTACACTTCCCAGGATCCTCTTGTCTCCACCTCTTGTCTTCACCTTGTTATGTTTGATTCATGCTTGTATTTAGTTTTCTTCTGTTCAGTCTGTCCTTGTCGGTCGTTGTTAATGTTACCAGGAGTTTGTGAGTGTACCCTCTGCCTGCCTGTCTGTACCCGTTTGATTTTGAGTAAATCTTTGTATTGGAGCTTTTTGCCTCAGCCTCTCATTGTCTACACCAGTGTTTCCCAACCCTGTTCCTGGCGGCACACCAACACTGCGTGTTTTCTTTGTCTCCCTAATCAAACACACCTGATTCAACTCATCAGCTCATTAACCCACCTGATTATGAGCTGATGGGTTGAGTCAGGTGTGTTTGATAAGGGTTACAAAGAATACACGCAGTGTTGGTGTGCCGCCAGGAACAGGGTTGGGAAACACTGGTCTACACCACATCCGTGACATTAGCATGCTCGGATCATGACCTACTTTTTTTGTATTAACATACTGTGATACAGATCAGGTTCTATGTGAAGTGTAGGTGATGGAAGGAGACACAGGGTCGGCGATATCTGGGGCTCGTGCACTTTTATTTTCACTCTTCCCACAGCGCACTCCGCGCTCACAATAACGTAACTCAGAAACAAATCACAAACAGAAAGTAAATGGGCAAAATAACTCTTCCCGCTGGCTACAGCTTCGCATTCGGCTCAATCTCAATGAAGAGGTAACTCGTCGTGTCTGGCCGGTCCGTGCACGAGCTCCCAGTCTCTCTCAAACGTGCTGTCTGCCCGGGCTGCTTATATGCGGTCTCCTCACGCCAATTACTGCAATCACAGACAGGTGTTCGTCATTTGAACTTGACCCGCTTACTCACCGCCTGGCTCCGCCCTCGCTCTCCCGCTGCAGATCTCGCCAAACCACGCACCCCTCGCCACATACCCCCACCGCCCGACTCAGGCCGGGGAGCCGTCCGGCCTGCAGCCCCCCCCCCCCCCTCCTGCGGGAGAGGAAGTCAGCCACAGCCATCTGTGCACCCGGCCTGTGGATCACCTGGAACTTGAAAGGCTGTAACGCTAGATACTAACGGGTGATCCGCGCGTTGGTATCCTTCATTCGGTGGAGCCATTGCAGGGGAGCGTGGTCCGAACAGAGGGTGAACTCTCGGCCCAGGAGATAATAGCGGAGAGTGAGAACAGCCCACTTAATGGCGAGAGCCTCCTTCTCAATGGTGCTGTACATTGTCTCTCTCTTCGAGAGCTTGCGACTAATGTACAGCACCGGCCGCTCCTCACCCTCTATCTCCTAGGTCAAGACGGCGCCCAGCCCCCTGTCCGATGCGTCGGTCTGCAGGGAAAAAGGGAGAGAAAAGTTAGGAGCCTGTAACAGCGGGCCACCACACAGGGCTGCCTTTATCTGGGTAAAAGCCTGCTGACACTGCTCCGTCCACTGAACGGGATCTGGCGCCTCCTTTTTAGTTAAATCAGTCAGCGGGCTAGCAAGGTCCGAATAATTATGTACAAACCTTCTGTAATATCCTGCTAGCCCCAGGAACTGTCTAACCTCCTTTTTGGTCTTAGGTCTCGGACAGGTCGCAATCGCTGCCGTCTTGTCAATTTGGGGACGCACCAGTCCATGACCCAAGTGAAAGCCCAGATACCTAACTTCCACGCGCCCAATTGCACACTTCTTTGGGTTGGCTGTGAGCCCAGCCCCTCGCAGCGTTCTGAGGAAAGCTCGCAGGTGCTGCATATGCCGCTGCCAGTCGTTACTATAGATGATAATATCATCCAGGTATGCCGCGGCATATGCAGCATGCGGCCGGAGGATTCTGTCCATCAGACGCTGAAAGGTAGCCGGTGCGCCGAACAAACCGAAAGGAAGCGTAACAAATTGGTGTAATCCGAACGGCGTTGTGAAAGCAGTTTTTTCTTTAGACATTGGAGATAAGGGGATCTGCCAATAGCCCTTCGTTAAATCCAGTGTCGAATAAAAGCGAGCAGTGCCGAGCCGATCAAGCAATTCGTCCACCCGCGGCATTGGATATGCATCGAATTTCGATACAGCATTCACCTTGCGATAATCCACACAGAACCGCACGGAGCCGTCAGTTTTAGGCACTAAAACTATCGGGCTCGCCCAGTCACTGCTGGATTCTTCTATTACCCCCATATCCAACATCGCTTCCAATTCATCCTGTACCACTTTCTTTTTATGTTCAGGTAATCTATACAGCCGGCTGCGCACTACCACACCCGGGTCGGTCTCAACATGGTGCTGTATGAGGTTCGTGCAACCAGGAAGGGGCGAGAACACATCAGCAAACTGTGTTTGCAAATTTTGAATGTCAGCGATCTGGGACGGTGAGAGATGATCTCCGCAAATGGCCAGAGTAGCGGATCGAGACTTTATATTCGCCTCTGGCCCGAGATCCTCCTCCCCACTCACTACCGTCGCCAGCATCGCCGACTCCGCCTCACTCCACTTCTTTAGGAGGTTG